GTTAATTAATTTTTACGATATAATTAATTGAATTTCTTACTAAATTTAAATTTTTTATTTTATTAATAATTACATACATAATAACAAAAATAACAAAATTAAAGTAATTACTATGTAATTATTTATAAATATATAAACTTTCAAATAATATATATAAATTGATACCTAATTAATTAATAATATAATATTTACAAAAATATTTCATACAATGCGTTTTCAAGGGAATTAATATTAACAGGAAAAAAAAAAAAACAGAAGCTGAGAGTCGAATGTTGATGTTAAGAGTCGAATGTTGATGCTGAGAGTTGAATGTTGATGCTGAGAGTCGAATGTTCATGCTGAATGTTGATGCTGAGAGTCGAATGTTCATGCTGAATGTTGATGCTGAGAGTCGAATGTTCATGCTGAATGTTGATGCTGAGAGTCGAATGTTGATTCGAGATCCTACAGCTGGCTGGAGAGAATTGTAGCACACAGCAGGAGAAGGATCTGATTGGAGATGGCTTAGGATATCTCCAGCACGCAGGAGAATTGGAGCTAGCAAGGTGGATATCTGCAGCATGGGTGCAGAACACGTACGTACATATGGAGATCAATGGCTGAGCTATGATGGTGTAGCACGCAGGAGAAGGAAGTGTCGAGAATTGCATAACATATGGAGATGGCTGAGGATATATTGTCCAGCATGCGCATGGGAATGAGGTGGGCTGAGTGGACATGCATATGGAGATGGCTGGGATTGTGTAGCATAGGAGAGACAAGGAATTTGGGCATCTGCAGCACGCATGGAAAATGGGGGGAGGGGGGGGAAGGGGGTTATATAAAGGACTTTCAGCAACAAGAACCATGTTGTTGAAAGTCTATCTCACTATTACCATCATGCTCTATGTTGTTAAAACATATTCAAATTTTAAATTTATACTCACCAACAACGTACAACATGTTGCTAAAATTTAAAATTAATATTTTTCCCTCCACTGCTCAATGATTAAAATTAATATATGTTAATTAATTTTTAATCTTAAAAAAAAATTGTATACCTGAAATTTTATTTATTATTAAATTATTATTAATCTATTAATTTTTATTTAATACTAATAAATTAATTAATATAATTAAATTTAATATATATAAATAATTTAAAACACTAATTTATTTAAAAATATGTATGAACATGTATATTATGGTACATAAATATTTCATATAAACTTACTACAATTTTTTGCCCTTAGTCGACTTTTAATATAAGAGTCAACTCTTTTCCCATAAGAGTCGGCTCTTAAAAGAACAGAGTCGACTATACCCACCATTGGGAACTTTCCTTGCTCTCTGGAATTTTGTAGTCGAATATTACTCCTTCACAGTCGAATCTTGGAGGCATTAGAGTCGACTATTTACATAAAGAGTCGACTCTAACTTGCAGTAAAATGCTCGAATCTCTTTGGAATTTGGGAGTCGAATATTGATCCTATATAGTCGACTCTTGGAGGATTTAGAGTCGACTCTTCATTCATAGAGTCGACTTTTCATTCATAGAATCGACTCTAACCTGTAGCAGGATGCTCGAACCTTTCTAGAATTTGGGAGTTGAATGTTGATCCTATATAGTCAACTCTTTGAGGGTTTAGAGTCGACTTTTCATTCATAGAGTCGACTCTAACCTGCAGCAGGATGCTCGAACCTCTTTGGAATTTGGGAGTCGAATGTTGATCTTATATAGTTGACTCTTGGAGGATTTAGAGTCGACTCTTTATTCATAGAGTCGACTTTAACATGCAGCAGGATACTCGAACCTCTCTGGAATTTGGGAGTCGAATGTTGCTTTTATATAGTCGACTCTTGGAAGAGTTAAAGTCAACTCTTTATGTATAGAGTCGATTCTAACCTGCAGCACATGCTCGATGGAATTTGGGAGTCTAATGTTGCTCTTATACAATCGACTCTTGGAGGGTTGATAGTCGATTCTTGATGTATATAGTCGACTTTAACATGCCTGAAAGGCTCGAACCTCTCTAACATGCTCCAACTTTTGTACTTGTTCTTACTACACTTTGATTTTACCATATCACATTACATACAATGTCATTTATCATATCACATATTTTCAATTCATCACATTATTATAAATATGTACCACTTATATAATTCCCTCATCTCATAATCATAAATTAAAAGATAAGTATATAAGTACCACTTGCAACATTTAATATGACCATTTACATATTCTAAACTTGCAAATCATAATAATACAGTTAATATTACCACAAACCATTCAATTCCAACTGACATATACACCAATGTCCTAACAAGTTCAAATCACAAACCCAGAAACTAAAAGTATTTTCCTCAAGTATCAAGAACATGCCAAGTTTTGCGTTCGCAACCTCATGCACACTGATCATTCCGACCCAAATGGACCTTGGTAATCTGCATCAAATCTCGGCTGGTAACCATAATCATCTTGTGGGGGATTGGCTGAAGATGTACCTGGAGATCCTGATTATCTCCCCATTTGGCCCATGGGGAATGCAGGTTTTATTGGCATTTGCACTGGCATTGCATGAGGAAATGATGGCCCACTAGCATGAAACGATGGCCCAACAGTAGGGAATGATGTCCCTACAAGAGGAAATGCTTGCCCAGTGTGAGGCAATGATGGTGTAACACTAGGCGGGCGCATCCCGTAGGCACTAAAAGCAGCAATTGCTGTGATAAAGATGCCTGCATCCTCCCCATGTCTTCCAACATCCGTTGCATTGCTTCTCGTTGCTCTTTGACTTGCCCTATTTCGTCTCACATCATTTGCATTGCCTCCCTATCTTTGGCTTGTTTTTCAGCCATGTCTGATATCATTAGGCTCACATATGAAGTCCCCATTGGTTGTCATTTTCTATATGTAAACCCAAGTTCCTCTGGGTTTACCTGTGAATCAATTCCTGGCATGAAATTGCTGTGGCATCCCCTAACAACAGTTGCCCAAGCGTCATTGTCCCAAGGTGGCTATGATGCTGAGTCCAAGCCATATGTAGCAGAGCACTCACTGACATATGTATCCTACAAAAGTAATGCAAAAAAAACTACAACATATAACTGCAAATTTTTAAATGTTGTATACACATAACAATGCTGAAAATGTAATCATTATTATTTACGAACAAGTGATAACAAAGTAGCAATCATCGAGAGACAATCAATAGCAAAACAAAATTGTTTCATTAACACCTACACATACTAATACTTACTCATGCAAAATTTTTGTTATATTTTATTTAATACCACTAACTTTATTAATAAACCTTTTATTCACTTTTTCTAACAATCTATGTCACTCATAGAAATCTTTTTATTTAGTATGTTCGCACTTACATGCCGAGTCTTATGTTTGTTGCCACACCATGGAGCTTCTTGTCCTTGGGGGACACCTTTTCGTAAAGTATGTGTTTCCTTGTATAGCTCTTAGTGTGCTGGCCTTACCCCCCCAGCAGTTTTGATCTGTGTGTCACAACCATATTATACAAGGTTAGCAAGTTATTATATTTATAGTTAATCGATAATTATACAAAAATAATAGAACTTGTGTTCATTATCTATTATATATATACACTTTTCTTTCTTTTCTTACTTACCATCTGTTCTTCATGCACATCAAAACTCACTAATCCTGTAGTGTGTGTAACTCGTTCCCCAGATGCTCGGTTTTTCTTCCCCCTCTCGCTAAGATTGTGAAACTCAGCAGAATCCCAATAAGCGCATAATGTAGGCCATAGGTGCTCAGGCACCCATACCGGCCTATACTCACTGTTTGCACGCCACTTATCCCGTTCATCCTTCATATTATCACCCATCCTTTCCTTATTGATCTTAAGAAAGCCTTTTGGATTGCATCCTCATCCTCTAAACCCCATTGATAATGTGTCTGTCACCACATACAAATAAATTATTTCCATGTAACTTAATAACATATAGTATAATAACACATGTATATACATCATATCTCATTTTTTTGTATATACTTAATTACCATTTTGTCCATACAAAAGAGCTAATTGAAACGAATCAAAACTTTTAATACTTTATTGACAAACTCAGAATTATAAGGATTTTTATGTCATATGATGACTATTATGATACCATATTGTTTTACCAAAGTCATACGATGACTGTTTTCTTTTTTTTTTTTTAAGTGTATGCAGTACTCATACCATTAAATTACCTGTATCAACCAATACACCAACAATAGTGACTTATACTTTATCATATACATTGTTACGTTATCATTAATCATACACTACATATGTGATTGAAGGATTATGTATGAAATGATAATTACTCTTACTTTAAACAACTCCCACACTTGCAGCCTTTTCTGTTCTGGGAACAAGTCATAGGTGAAGTAATCACCATTATAAACCGTCTTCCATAGGGTCGTAATCAATCTGGGGACTTCAACATCCAAGAAGGTGCCTTTATGCGAAATTTGTATAAATGGTCTTTCATTTGGTCTTCTTACAGCCTTTTTTAGTTTGTTCGGACCTTTTCCCTTTTGCTTCCCATTATGGGATGAGGCTGCTGCATGAATAGAACCTTGTGGACTAATAGACCGAGTATGCCCTGCGTCCAATACTGGTGTAACGTCACATGCAAGATCTACAGAGTTGTGACATCCTCGTCTCCCTGATGTGCTGCGACTACGCGCGGAGTTGATGGGCCCACCCAACATCCTGCAAAACATATGGTCACATAAAATATGTCAGTACTAATGTCACCAAATAAATATATGTGCAGTTTATAAATTTTCTTTTTATAAATATTTACAACATAAATAATGGCAATGAAACAAAATTTGAAGAAATAGTCACTAATCATTCATAAGTATATTTGTTAATTACGAAGTCTTATACACAAAATTTATATTTTTAAATGATAACCAAAATTTAAAACTATTATTGTACATGAACTTCAATTATTTAACGACCATTCAGTCTCACTACTATTGTCACCAACATCGCCTCTTGCTTCATATCTTTCATTTCCTTCACTCGGATTTTCATCAACATCATCATTTGCATCTCCATTTAAGTCAACCATTGTTGCTCCTTCTGCATGCAGATTCGCGCGTTCTGTAGATGCCAAGTTGGAACTATGCTCATTTGATTGTGTGGATGGTGGCTCTTCATCTTGGAATATTTCTTCCATATCAAGTGAGGTTGAAGAAGCGTCAACCAAATGTTTAGCACGTATTTTGCATGCGGCGAACCATCCATGAGTTGCTCGATTATTTGATGGGTAACTACTGTAATACACTTGCATTGCTTGACACGCAAAGCAAAATGGCTCACCGGTCGACAATTGATATCGTGGGTTGACCTCAACAATGTTGTAAACTTGGTTAATGCGTGTTCCCCTACATGCATCAAACCAATCACAATTGAATAAGACAATTGTCTGCATTTGCGCATGTGGTCCATAATGCAATAGTTCGATGACTTCGTTAAGGATGCCATAATAATCAGTCTCAGCATCATCAAATATGGTTGTTCCTTTCACACATACATCACAGTTATATGTTTGTCTTTCACTACTGGCTTTTTGGGTCATAAATATAAAATCATTGACATAATAACCTCTGTACACATTCACTGTCCATGATGAGCCCAGTGCAAGGTATTGCAAAACCTCATTCGCTTCATGATAGTCATTTAACACCTACCAAATTTATATATATGTGTTGTTAGTCAAATTTATAATATTTTCGTTAAAAACTCAATTAGTTAATATATTGTATATGGCTATATATGTATAGGTATATAATAATATTTGAAACAACATGACACGATGAAAAATATTGTTTACCCTATCTTTGAACCACATAACAAAACTTCTGGTACGTGCTTTGTGTGGAGTAAAAGGGGTCATATATACACCAACTTCTCGATCAAAGATGCTAAAATATGGAAACAATTATGTGTGACCAAAAAAAGGAATGTTGAACTTTCCTGCTATGATTAAGCAAGCTTACTTTAAAATTTTAATAAAAAGGAGTTTAGTTTGTCATATCTTACCTAAGAAGCGCATCAACTTCCCTACAATTTAGTAGGACATAAAGTTCAGCTGCCTTCATCTCTTGAGTGGTTAGACAGCGTGTCTGTGAATGTGAACCCATTGGATGACCAGGGCACGCAAATATCGAGAATTCTGTGTTCCTATAAAATGGAACTGCTATAAAGTTCCTTGGGGGCTTACTCCAACTTGTTTCAAGATCCGCACCAAAATATCGTGAGCAAAATCCTGTTATTTCATTAAGAATGTATGCTTCGACAATAGATGCCTTAACATGATTCTTGTTCCATATTGTTTGTTTAAGTTTGTGTATTTGTCTGTAAAATTTGAAATTAGATATGAGCATAACAAATTATTATAGATTCTGTTATACTTGAAACTAGTGCATGAAACTAGTGCAAACTTGTTTCCGTTACCGTTCAAATTGGTATATCCATCGAAATTGTACTGACCCACCAATTCACGCCTCGAAAGGAAGATGGATTGCTAGGTGCTCCATACAATAAAAAAAATGACGGCAGAAAGATTCTTTCTAACTTACATATTATTTCAACTATCTTTGTTTCCCAAACTGCCATGTCTTTTATGTTGACATTTGGGGAACATAGTGCATGGAATAAATTACTTACTTCTGTTAATGGACCCCATATAGAATCTGGGAACAAGCCGCGGAAAGCAATTGGAATGAGGCGCTGCATGAATATGTGGCAATCGTGACTCTTCAATCCAACTAAGTGTAGCTTAGCTAAGTTCACACAACGTGCAATGTTAGATGCAAACCCATTTGGAAATCGCACATTTTTGAGCCATGTACATAAACATCTTTTTTTATTCGTGTCAAGTGCATAACTTGCATTTGGCATGCAAAGCGACCCAGAACTGTCATAGTACAAGTGTAGTTCTTCCCTATCACAGTACAATGGTAAGTCCATTATTGACTTAACATTGTCTTTTGAGGACGAGTCATTCATGACTGTGTGTGTGATATTGTCAAAAAAATTCATCTCACAATGCATGACATCAAGATTATGTCTGATCAAGTTATCCCCCTAGTATGAGAGTTCCAAGAAGATACTCCATTTGACCCAATTGTGTGTTTCACCGAACCCGGGAATAGTTTGGTTTACTGATGGATTTTCAAATAAAACATCAGGTAGTGCAGCAACTCGAAGTCGAACGGAATGACTATCTAACCGTGGAGGGGGGGCCAAATTCTAAGTGGCCCTTAAGGAATTGAGATGCATCCATTCTGTACGAGTGTGATGTAGGAAGAAATTGCCGTTGACAGTCAAAGAAGTAGATCTTGCGATCATACTGCAAGTAAAAAGTACAAGTCATTTCCATGCAATATGAACAAGACAGACGACCATGCATGCTCCATCCAAAAACCATATCATAGCCGGGGAAATCTGTTATGGTCCACATAAGCATGGCTTGCATTGTGAAATTCTGTTTACGAAAGCTATCAAATGTTTCTACCCCCAACGACCATAACCGTTTCAAGTCATCAATAAGTGGACGGAGAAAAACATCAATGTTTTTTCCTGGACTTTTTTGTCCAGAAATAACAAGTGTAAGGAATGTAAACTCAGGTCACATGCACATCTTAGGAGGAAGATTGTAAACAACAATGAAAATAGGCCAACAGGAATATGACCTTGAAGAATGACCCAACGGGTTAAACCCATCTATTGCAAGACTAAGATGGACATTTCGCGGATTGGATGCAAATGAAGGATGAACGGCATCAAAGTGCTTCCAAGCAGTAGACTGAGCAGGATGAATGAGGATCTCCAAGTCAACACGACATTTAAGGTGCCATGTCATATGCTCAGCAGTTTTACGAGACATGTACAGCCTCTGTAGGCATGGAATAATGGGTAGATACCACAAAGAATTCTTGGGCCTACCCTTTTTTTGAGTTTTAACCGAGTTGCATTTTTTATACCTAGGTTCACCACAAACTGGACAAGCAGTAAGTGACTTTGCCTCATCACCATAATACAGAAAGCAGTTGTTGACGCATGCATCAATTTTGGCATAGCCTAAACCTAAGTTTTTCATGAATTTTTTTGCTTTATAAAAATTTGACGGTACTTTTTGGTGATCTTCTGGACTTAACAATTGCCTACAGCCTTGAATGATGTCATTGTAACCAACATCAGTTATGTTGTTTTTGGCTTTGTAGTGCAGCATATATGATAACCATCCAAGCAATGTTTGATTATTAGATGATGGTCCAAGTGGGATGGTTGAAGCACGTAACAAGTCATGAAAAGATTGTGCATGTCTATTTGGCGCATCCCTAACATTTTCATATGCGAACTCTGTTTCATTTCTAGGGCGATCATTTTCAGATGGACAGAATGCATCATAAACCATGTGATGGATATCATCCTCAGCATTAACATGTTCCTCAATATTAACATGTTCCTCAATATTAACATGTTCCTCAATATTACTTGAGGATGCCACATCACTTGTAGCTAACCATGGATCAACATTGTTACTTAAAGTTTCACCATGTGCCCACCACACAGAATATGTATCCATGAAACCATATCTCAACAAATGGTCTGTTACAGTTGCCTTGTTGTGGTGAGGTAAATTTCCATATTTACTACAGGGGTAACGAATTTCGGTATTCAAGTGAACACCAGGACGACTATAAAAGAAATCAAAAAATTGTTGTAATCCATTAAGAATTCAGCATCACAATCTCCACGAGGACCTCGTCGTCTATACATCCAACGACGATTATCTGTCATCTTTAACTGAATAATACAATTAAGATTTTAAGTAAATTAAATCATTATTAAGGTAATAATAGTAATTATATAAGTATGTGTAATAGACAAAGAAAGGGGAAAACAAAGCAACTAGTGCATAAAGGTTGCAAACACTGTTTTCAAACCGGACTGGCTTGATCGGTTCAATCAATTGAACGAAAACCAATTCTATAAACGGGTCGGTTTATGATATTTATCCGTTGGAGGTCAAACATGGTCAAAACCCCGATCAAACCAGTGAAACCCATTCAACTTGGGTCAACTTAATCAACCGGATCAAAACATTTTTTACATTTTCAATTTATTCTTTGTTTTTCTTAAATTTTTATTTTGTATGTTGGTAATTAATAGATAAAATAATAATTAAATTGTAATATCTATTTAAAATCAAATCACAATTAAGGAATGAAGTTTTTTAAATTTATTTAAATGTAATTTGAAATTAAATTACTATTTCAAATTATAAATTGATTGTAATTTAAAATAAATCAATTTGATTTTTAAAATAAATAAATAACAACTTTATATAATGAAATTGATGAAATCAACTTAAAATTAAAAATAATTTTTAAAATATAATAAATATATCTTTATTTTATACTTCAAAAACATAAATTAAAAATTTTTAAATAATTAATATATTTACTTATATTATTTTTAAAAAATTAAAAAATAAAGTTAGACTTTTGTGATAGGAATAATTAATAAAAATAAATAAATAACAATAAGGTCAAAGTAAAGAAAAATATTTATCTACCTTAAAAATAAAAAAAAACAATTAATTTAGTACATATTCAAAATAAAAAAGAATAGCTACTTTGAAACAGAAAGAGTAGTTTTATTTTTATTTAGCAAAATGGCTTTAATGGTAGAAGCATTCGTGTCTCCACTTTAGAGGTGGTAGGTTTGAGTCTCCAAAATCATTATTTTTACTATTGATATGTTGGTTTGAATGAAAAAAAAAAAAGATTATTTTTAAATAATGTCTCAAGTTTAAGTTTTATCAATGAAGAAATGAGGATTAATAAAACTTTTTCTTCTAACGATTTTTAATATGATTCAATTTTAAATTAATTGAAATTTAATATGATTTATAAATAGTAAAGAGCTTAGTAAAAGAAATAATTTTTTATTATAACTTACACATTTTCATTTATCACGCAGCTAGACCAAGGCTGTATTAAAAGAGAATTTCGTGAAGGAAATGCTGCAAAATTTTTTACTTCACTTGGTCACTCTTCCCTGTTTGGAATCAGTTTGCTGGATACAGAATATGCCACATCCTAATAAGGGACTTGTTGGGGACTAGTGCCGATGGGATTCTGAGTAGTTACAGCACAAACAAAAAGAGATCTCTTGCCGACAATCATGCTCTACCAAAAAGAGATCGAGCTTTTCATATCATGGTTAGTGGCTACTTCTAGTAATATGTCCATAACATCGCAAGATTGTTGTGGGACAATCAAGGATTTATGAAGTCTTTGTCATTGATATTATGGCTCACCAAACTTTTATACATGAAAAAAGTGAAATGTAATCTAGTCGTGTAGTTCACTTCACTATTAATAGAAAGCGCAGGCTAATATTGGGAGGGCTATTCATCCATTAATAGTCAAAGATAATACAAATTGCGCAGCAAAAATTGTACTACATCATTCTCTTTATATATCATGCATTATACTACGTTGATTTGTTATACCAGCTCAAACATATAATACAACTGTCTTTGTAGCTCAATTAACTCGAAGTGCCAGTGCTGCTACATTTATTTTTCCTTCTAATTTTGCAGAATTATTCAATGACTTTATTTTTTGATGCAGAATCACTGAATCAGGCGAGGAATGACCAACAGTAGTCAATCAATTCCCGGCCGACATGGTAACCCAATGCCGATGCATCCATTTAAATCAACAGACAATTATCAAATCATCCAATCTTCACCAGAACCAAGAAAAGCAGCCGGTGATCCAAACAAATCCGAATTCATACTCCTCTCAACACTCTTCTCCTTTACTTCCTGCCCTGCAGACACAGATGCTTCCCCGGCGACATGTGGCTGCCCTGCTTGCATCACAATATTCACATCACACATCCCAAAATCATCAATAAAATTTAAAAAATCAGAAGCAAGGAATTCCGAGAATCCCATTTCACCGGAATTGAATCCGGTTATAAACTCGGAGAAATTATCATCCTTGGACCAATCTAATAGCGGGGACCCGTCACTGCATTCAATTTTGCTACCAATTGATGGTTGCTGAGGAGTGATAGCAATGGCTTTGTCCGTGCAATAATCTGGTTTTCCGGTTGGAATTGGATTCGTTTGGAGTTTAGAAGAGTTTGATTGGTTCCCTTCTACTTTCTTGGACAAATAGCTGTTCCAATAGTTCTTGATCTCGTTGTCTGTTCGCCCTGGAAGTCTCCCTGCTATCATAGACCATCTGCACATCAATTATGTAGTCAAAAGTCCACACAGACCAATTTTGTCATAATAACTATACAAGGAAATAAACACATCCAACCTAAAACTAATTTTGTTAACAGGTGAAGAGTACAAGAGCACAAGAAATCGTTAAGTAATTGTAAGGTGCGTGCATGGTGGCTCAGTAATAACTTGACCATCGAAAAGTCCAATAGCAACATGAAACCTAATAACTAGCATAACCAAAGTGGGATAACACAAATTGAAAAGAAATTACAGAGAATGATAAGGAATCAAAATACCTGTTTCCTAAGAGCTTATGGAGTCTGATGATGAGATCTTCTTCGTCATGAGTAATGTTGCCTCTCTTGATATCAGGTCTCAGGTAGTTCAACCACCGAAGCCTGCAGCTCTTTCCACATCTCTTAAGCCCTGTAAGAGCAAATTGCAAAAATAAGGATTTTTTAGATAGGAACAGAAGAACGCAGCTTCGATATGTAAATGTATACTAAACAAAGCAGGGTATATATTTTTTCAATTCTGTTTCTCCAACCTGCTTCTTTGGGGATTTTTCTCCATTTTCCTTCACCATGGGCTTTGATGTAATCAATGAGGATTTGATCTTCAGTTGCAGTCCAGGCTCCTCTCTTCATTTCTTCTTTAAAACAACAAGGGCTCCTACCCATTCTCACAAGGAATGAGACTATGTCTCTCGCTTTCGCCTACCCTGATTTTTGTTTTTCTCTCTGCTATAGAAGAGTCAAAGTCTCCTGGTAACCATAAATCAATGATTCAAATGGATGTCCTAGTTAATATTTTGGGATTTTAAAATATTTGTAATATATATGTGAGGTGTAGATAATAATGTCGTAGGGGGACCATTATCAATTGAAGATCTGCCAAAGATTTTTTAACAGTAAAATTAGAGATGGGAAATAAAACTATTAAAGAGATAAATTAGAATTTTAAATGTTACTATCACTTTTAAAGAAGTTATAGCCATTTGAACACATTAGTGATTGGTAACATGTTTTGAATTTCTTAATAATGTTGCTGGTTTCTGTTTTTGTTTTTATTTTAATAAAAACGACAACTAACCTAAACCAACCCCAATAAATTATAGGGTTGGTTGGTTAAAGATTAATTTCACTGAAGAAGTTTTTATTATAAAAGTGGTTGAAAAGATAATATATTAAAAGTTAAAAAATATGGTATATAAAGTTAATAAATTTTATAATAAAATTTTGTTAAATTATTAATTTTATTGTATTTATAAAAAATTGACATAAAAAAATTAATAAAATATTCATAAAATAGATTTTATATAAAAAAGTTGAGAAAAACTTTTTCCTTTTAAAAATTATGAAAAAATTTACAAATTAAAAATTACATAAAAGATAAAAATTAAAAATATTAATTTTACTTTTTTTTAATTTTAATACTAAAATGTAAAAGTAGGTAAATAAAAAAATAAAAAAAAAGTAGCAAGGAAGTTCCCCCATCCAAATAGGCCCTACATGTTTCCAATAATTATTTGTAGGGAACTAGGAGAATCTACCTCTACAACTTTGAGTTAAATTTATTAATAAATAAAGTTTATCTTAGTATTTAAATAAAAAGTTTAAATTTTAGGATTAGTAGTTAATAAAATTTTTTTGTTGTATTTTATTTTTTTATTTTAAATTGTATAATCAAAAATAACTTTTTTTTAATTTTTCAAACTATTTTACTTACATATTATTCAATTAATACTTAAAAATTTAATTTTATTTAATACACTTAAAAATAAAAATTAACTTACTGACACCACAACTGTCCAAAAAAAAACAGAATATACCTTCACATGATAGGAAATGAATGAATAGCAACGTGACACAGTAGTGCATGTGCCTTTTGCAGTTGAATAATATGCAATCACTTTATCATGGTGTCACGGGAGTACTTCCATCTTAATTCTATATTTTCAATGAATTAATAATTATTTATATTGACTCCTTTTACGTTATCATCTTCTACTTTTCTACCTAAAAGTTGAGGAATTCAGACCTGGGGGTGCATCGTGTGGGTGACAACTTGCCTCGTTTTCCACATCTTATATTTCCATTTCAAAAGATGACAAACAACACGGAAATTGGATTTGGTAGTGTACTGAAAACGAAAAATTATTATTTAATTTAAAATATATTAAATTAATAATATAAAAGAATCTTATATTACAGTCTGGACTGTAACATCGGAATCATAAAAAAGAGAGGGTAAGGCCCAATATCAGAGGCCTTATTTTTTTTTATGGTTATGATGTTACAATATGGTATAGTCTAGTACAATTCCGGATTGTAACACATTTTTTTTTATAATATAAATGGTTAAATGGAGAAAATTTCGAAACTGCACAGCAGATACCGTTTGATGAAAAGTGAGTTTTCTTTGTACCTAATAATTTTTATTTTATGATGTGATATAATTTAAATTGTAAAATAAAAAATTTTATTAAAACATACTCATTATTCTATCCTTCTCTTACTTTAAATATAAAAAAAATTATTTTATAATCTAAATTATTTTAAATTATAAAATAATAATTTGTAAATAAAAAATAAGATACTTTAATATTTTTTATTTTATAATTTAAAATTATTTAAATTATAAAATAATAAATTCTTATAAAAACTTTAAAAATGCATTTGCCTGAAGATACTTTTGGGCCGTTCATTGCCGAATACTACATTTCAATATTTTTTTTTTTTCTCACTCTTAGAAACATTTGTTAGGGGCAAGGTATTAACTGGCCCAACAGCCCAGTTAAGGCCTATGAACCACCCAAGCTCAGTTAAAAGAGTTTGTGGAGCCACGAAAAACCATTCTATTGCGTATCGATCTAGGACACCCAAAAGGCCTAAAGGCAGCTGCCATGTGCCACTTGACATTTGGCACTTCGGTTAATGGAAGGACTAACTTGAAATTTGTAAATGTTTTAATTTTTGTATATTATTTATATTTTATAAATTTAAAATTTTTTTAAAAAATTATATTTTTAAATTTTTTTAATTGTAAAAAGACTTTAATTAGTAAATTTTGAAAATTTTCAAACTTTTATTTTTTATAAATTTATTTATTTATTTATACTCATTTTTTATTATGTATAAAAGTAATTTTTAATTTTTTTTCTTTAATAAAAATTTAAATTTATTATTTATAAACAATATTAAAAGTGTAAAAACTTCAAAAAATTTCACCAAATAGACCCTTAATATTGAAAATAAAAATGTTAAAATAATTTTAATTAATTTTGGAATTTAAAATTAATTTTAATATTAAAAAAATTGAAACACCAAGATGATATTCTAATCTAATATTATCAACTGTATCTTATTTGTACATTCTACAAGAAAAAGACGTTGACGTGGTCTTATTTATGATGCCATGTGAACTTGTACCACCGAAATGTATAGGGATTTGCACCTAATTGCAATGCCTTGTAATTTTTTTT